TACGGATCGGGAACTGTTAGGTCAACAAACCATAGAATTCCTCCCACTTTCAACGACTGGACCGGAAACTGAGCCATTCGTCTCAGAGTCATGAAAAATGTTACAAAAACGGGCGCCTAAAACAACCACATGGTTAATAAAGTAACCAATCCATCGCGTGAGCCATACCTGAGCCAATGGCACTAACATACTCTTGAAAGGGCTGATGTCATTCTTGGTCATCAGGTCCTGTTGTTGCTGAACGTATTTGGCGACTAAACATAACGTATTGCTTAACATTTGTGTCAAATATAATCACCAAAATTCTTACACTCAAATTGATTGCCAGAGAGCCGAGCATTTGTGGACTTTTGTTGCAATTCTTGTAATTGAGGCATCACCTGGTTCATTTTCATCGCATTCCCTGTCAATACATATAAACAAATACTTGTCATTTAATAACACACTATAAGTGATGTCATACTCTGGGCTTTGATCACAAGTGGAAACATAATTAACCGGAGGCAGAGAGTGGCCAAAGCGATGGTCGCATACCAGGGAAGCACGTCATGAATGCCCTCTAATAAGTGTAATGTCCAGCCTTTGGTTCAAATTTAATCATTAGTACATCGACTATAAATGTGGCCAATAATTGGTTACCGATTGGCGTGTAATTGGAGGCCAAACCAAGTGCGGTGAGCGGGAGATCACTGTTAGTGGCAATCGTGTCCACTAATGCGGATCCGGTGGCTGAGGACAGATCGAGGACATTGTCGGCGCCGGTAATCAACTCGGGTTTGATTGAAATCGTAGTATCGGTTGTGATGGCACTCAAACACCGGTGACTGACAGTAGTCTTGAGCCGCAGCTTATGATCAATAAATCGCTGCAAAAAAATAACACAAAAATATTTAAATCATAAATCAATTGAATTAATAAAAAAAACTTACATTTTTTGGTTTAACGCTATTTAATGAATGAAAACATTTGAAATTTATTGAAAAACTCTTGTAATTGGAAATAAAATTAACGTTTTGTCTGTTTTTTATACAAAATAATGTCTTNAATTTATTGAAAAACTCTTGTAATTGGAAATAAAATTAACGTTTTGTCTGTTTTTTATACAAAATAATGTCTTATTGTTTAAGATCTTAGAGAAAGACATGTCCTCTCACTCTATGTCTTATGTCTTATGATTTAAATTAAATATATTTTTATAAATTAATTGTTAAATACATAACAAAATACAATTCACACTCAAAACCAAACATCGCTTCATATTATTGTCATTTATTTTCAGACTCTATTATCACGTGTAGTGTTCGCCTTCACTGCATTGTATTGTCCGCTAAAATACACTTATTTGATGTCTCGCAGTGAAGAGAAATATGTATGTAAAGGGGCAGACATCAGGTGGTGTAATGCACTACAAAAAGTATCGTCAAATCGATGCAATAATTGAATGCATTGCATGCGAATCATGTGATACACACTTGAATACAATAATAACGTTTATGTAAAGCAAATAATTAAAGAATTCATTGAATAAATTGACCATGCTTATTCTGCCATTTGTTCATTATTAATGTCTCATTTCTGGATAATCACAATTAATTAATATTTTCAGTTTATATTAATGTTAAAAATGGTGTCAATTAGAGTATAAAACTTCTCATATATCATATCAATTAAAATAAGGAATACTGAATGTCAGCACTATATCTATGAATATCTAGTGTTTCCAATGGACTAGAATTTGCGGCTAAATATTTCTACATTTATTATATTAAAACTTTCTCAATAGAAAAGTGTTTCTTATAGAAGAAATTATTTACAATATATGTTTTGTTATCATTCAAAGTATAGGGAATCCGTCCAATGTTTTAAGAACAATGTGAAAACAAAATATAGTGTTTGGGGCTATACTGGATGTCATACATTTGATAAGACTTAATATTAATATTAATAGTACATATGAATTTTATTCTAGAAAAGCATTCTTAGTCGTACAAACTAATATTAAAACTCATTCATAGTATTTGATAGTATTTAATAGGATTTGATATAAAAATCACAAAAATGACTGTTTTTCAATAAGTTGAAATATATTTTTCAATGCTTAAGTTTAATGTCATAAATGAGTTTTAACATTAGTTTGTACGACTAAGAATGCTTTTCTAGAATAAAATTCATATGATTAGGTTGTTTATTGATGTCCGCACATTACCAAAATATAAGGGATGGGAGTAATGATCACTTTTAGTGGCAAAATATTTAGTCAATTTGCAAGTTTTGAAGAGTGGAACCTAATTATGAAGCAATTTTTAAAGTCTGGCTAACTATTAAAAAGTTACACAAAACTTGAAACCAAAACTATTGATATTTCGCTTTCTTCACATTTTATATTTAATTTGAATACTAAAACTCACTTATGTTTAATTTAATCATTAATATTTCTATTTTTATTCGTATATTTAGTCAAATTTACAAAATAGTTAAAATTGGTACTAGCGCCTCAAATAATTAAATATAGTTAAAATAAACTTTCGATAAACTGACCCCCAATTCATGATCGATTTACATCCCGAGTCTGGGGGTAATGCTATGAACCGCTAAAAATAGTTGCTAGAGTTAAATGCAATTCCCTGATTATATCTTAAGACAATATGCGACCGGATTTTAAATTAAAATACTAGTGTGCAACAATATTTTATAATATAGTGCATATATACTAATTGAGTAAATATCCTATAAAATAAATCTATTTTTATTTAATGAATACTTGGAAGTCGTTTTAAGGGTAGAAATAAAGATCATTTACTTAACGAGTCATTTAATTTTACATTTATATATTTTAACTATATATTATAGTTAATTATTCCAATAATTATTGATATATTTTTATTAGATTTAACTGCATTTATAAAGATATAACTTTTATTGAGTTGGACTCAAAAATTAATAATCTGGGTTTTGTATTGAATTTTTATTTACTAATTGTTTAGAAAACTTCTAATTAAAGCTATTATTATGTGAGCCATTCATTTAATAAAGTATTCAAACACACAATAATAACTGTTTGCTTCGTTTAGTGCATACAATGCATTCAAAATAACTTTTTTCATATAAACTATTTATACTGAATATAATTACTTTTGTAATAAAATTAAGTTTTTAAACGAATTAATGGTTGAGACAATATAGAGGTCGTTATCTTATAACGTGTTATTTATATTGATTTCAATATTTTTAACTTAATTTATAACTTAAACATTTTTATAAAATCTAATTGATGTGCAAAATATATAAATATATGTCAATTTCATCTTAAAGTGATTGTCGGCTCTTTTGTACTTTTCGGTGAACACAACATATTTCATATATGTTTGAATTGAAAGCTTATTTCAATCATTTTCTCCATATTAGCTATAAAATGGCAAGAATTGTATAGGTTATCAGGGTTAATTTTGTGCATGGTGCACAATACACACTTTCATGTCTCTTTCTGAAATTTCTCCATTTATTTCTATTAAAATAAATAGCAATTAATTCATGCAAAATATAAAGTGCAAAATTCTTATAGTATTGTTATGTTTATTGTATGAATATTTTATATAATAATACCGTATAGAATCAAAAAACGGCACAATTGTTTTAATTAACTTTTAAAGATATTTATTCAGAATATATTATATAAATTATAAAGTAGACAAATATATAAATTGTAAGCATTTAATTGACTCTTAAAATTACTATTCATTTTTTGATTCTTTAAAAAACTTTGACAATAAGTTACTTATTATAAATATAAGGAAAACCGTTTTTTGTAAATCCCAGTCCATTGTGAGGTTGATAGCCATCAATGGCTCATATGTTTCACACATTAGTTTCTGTCTATTCTTTGAATAAAAAAAAAGAAAAGATTTATTTGAAGAGAACGTTACACTTGATTACCAATGCATGAAATGTGTATAATTTTAGTAAACATTTTCTCACTTTATTTTCAAATTAGACATAAATCTTACTATTTTTCAATTTAACGCACTTTTCTATAAAACAAGTAAACAACTAATGAAATTTGGTATATTTACAGTACATTATATAATACATTACATATTACACTGTATAGTACCGTATATTAAATTATGTATAACTATGAGAATAACAATGTACTTTATATTGTAGTCTTTTGTAGTTCATTTCTATAATAAAGATGGGTTAAATTCATAAAATTAGCATATACAAATAAATAGCCATTGGTTTACCTTGTTATAATTGAACAATAGTTATTTATAAAATAACAATATAGAGTACACAATAAAAATTTCAGTAAAATATTCATAAAATCTAAATTTATATTATAATTGTATGCATTAAATGTTGCCAAAAATTGAAGTATTAATACATTATTAACTACGGTATATAAGTTATAAACGTTACAGTTTATGACATTTTATTTGTAGTTTGGCATTACATAAAAGGATGTATGAGAGGACCCTGCTTATTTATTAAGTTTATTAATGATTTGTATTTGTATTAAACCTCACAACTCTCTCCATTAAATAATTTGTCAAAATATTCAAAACTAAAAATTTAAAGAATTAAATGTAAAGAATTCTAAGGATTGCATTACAGTTGACGAAAACATCAATTATATAACAAAATTATTATTGAAATCGTTTAATTGTTAAATTAATTTATTTAGCAAGAGTAAAAACGGTATTACATTAACTCAAATTTACGTAAAATATTGATAACGTATAGATCACAGAAATAAGTGCCTAATTTTTGTATTGTGTCTGTTTTTGATTAAATTATTAAAAGTTAGAATACTTTGTGATAGTATTCAAATGTCTTTAAACAGCTGACAAACTTTTACTAGTATTTTATATCAATTATATAAGTGATACAATTCCTCGGTATCCATGTCTTGTAAAGCCTTAAATGTAAAATCGAAATGAGATGTAGACTTTCGATCAGCTCAAATGTATATAAATGTATACTAAATCATATTAAATTGTTAGAAATAACTAATATTATTAACAATTAAGCTAATTGGAGCTGATTTTATAATGATTGAGCTAATAACAATTTTTAAATTATATTTATTTTTAATTTTAAATTTATTTTTTCGAGCTCATGTCGTATTTCCATTGAAATTATAATAACTAAAGAGATATTAATAGCTTAATGGGGGATAGAAGAGGTAGTGTGTGTTTAAGCGGTCATCACGTGTATCCAACCTCTATTAAAACACTGCCCAAACCGATACACAATCTGTAAACACCTAATGTATTAAATTGAATACTTTAGACATTTATAACAAAACATTTCATTGACTCTTTCATTGACTTTTTCATTGAATAGTTGGCACGAGTTTGTGCTCGAGATTTGTTTCTCTCAAAACGTCTGTCTGTAAAGTGAGAATTTAGACGAAGTAAACATTTATAGACAAACATTAATAAATTTAAATAACTAAACAATTAAGTTGTTTATAACTAAAATGATCTAGTGAGAAAATAAGTGTATGTTTCCACAATATAGACTTAAAGATCAAATTAGTATAGAGTAAAGTTTTTCAAAGCAATTTTTAGAGTTGAATAAAATGATGGTTTGTGAACAAAATAATAATATATGGTTTGACATCATATTTAAAGTATTTTTTTGTGAGTTTACATTAATGAGTATTTCTCACATCATTTTCTTTAATTTCAAATTAAAGTAATTCTCATTTATTATAAATTTTAAAAAATGGTTTACATGTTGTGAATCAATGAAGTCTAAAAATAATTAAATACTAAATAATAATTAAGAGTCTCTTTTTTATGGGAAAACATTTTGAATTTGATGTTATTTTCATTGTTTGATAAGTTTTAAGCCATAAATTCTTCGCAAAATCAAAATTAATTTCGTGGAAAATGTCAAACACGCGATATTTCCTCTAAAATCTGAATTCAAATCTACTGAAAAGTTTTCGCTCAACAAATATTAAAAAAAACTTAATTATGGAGAACTTGTTTTTCTTTGTGTGCTTTCATTCAAAAAAGCATTTCTTTTTAATTCCTTGTGTTTAAAACTTAATGTTCAGTACATTTACGTAAGTCTTTAATTTGAGAGAAAAATCATTTATTTATTTATTATTATAATTGAGAAAATATTCATTTTTACGTTTGATATATTCATTAATCACTTCTCGCAACTAACTTATCATTTAAGTTTTGGTTTTTGTCGTTTTCATACAAAATATAATTAATTTTAATTGACTTTTTTCAAAAATAATAGTTCGATGAAAAATTTAATTTTGAACAAATAAAAAACACAACAAATCATTTTGGTCTAAAATTAAAGACCTAATGTATTTAAATGTATTTTTTATGATTTAATAAATTACATTAATGGAGATATTGTTTGAATTATTGTGTGATTAATAATCGCACATTTGAGACGATAAGGTTTCACAAGACTAGAGCTCTGAAATAAATTGATTTTATTTCTAAATTTAGCATATTTTGCCGAATCAGTCACTTATAAAAACAATTAAAATAATTATATCTATTTCACAAAAATGTGATTCAATTATATGTATTAATAAATAGAAATTGAAAATTGAAGTAAAATAGCTATCAATTTCAAGCGTTAAATTTAACGTCAGTACAAATTCATACAAACTTTGACTATTATTTGAAAGAATTTATTGTTTATATTACATAAAAATATACAAAAAGGAAATTTAAAACTTTTTAGCATTAAATATAAAAAGATTAGTTTATAATAGAGTATTGAAGTCTTTCGTGTAATGTATTGATGCAAACAAATGTTTAAAAGAAATATGAAATGTTTGTGTTTGTGTAGGAATTTTGAATCATTTGTTTCATGTGATTTAATTTGCCGATCAAATAATAAAAGTCTAAAAATTGTTTATAAAATTATATACTAGTAGACAAAAAATGTGGTAAAATATATTTGCCTTTTTTAAAAGAACTCTCGCATTCATTCAACTGATATAATGCTTAAAATCTAATGCTTTTAACGAATAAATCTATGCATTAGTATTTGGCATCACATCTGCATTCAGTTTTTTTGAACAGAAAAATCAAAATAGTTTTTTTCCAAAAAAGCAATCATTTTATAATTCATTGTAATCTTTGCTGACAATTCACACGAGAAAAGCTTTTTTGCATTATATTTACATCATAATAAATTGATAGATTTTTGTTGCCTTAAAATTGCATTTTTATAAATTCAAAGTCATAAATGTAATTATAAACATTTGGTGAATAAAAAACCATTTTTCCCTATTTTCATAACAAATTTGTTAAGCAATAAATAATGACATTTATAAATTGCATTAATATTTTCAGAGCATATAATTTAAGTTAATTTAAATCCTGGAAAGACATTAAATCGCAAATACTTATCATTTATAGCATAAAATTTTATATTAACAACAAAAAAGGTAATATGATATACGATTGTATCTATTGTTAGAAACAATGTAAGCACATGTGAATAAAACATTAAAATTTAATATTTAATATTAAAAATCAATTATTTTCAATAAAAATTGAAATATTTTCCTTATTTTTTATTAAATGAATGGCTCACATAATAATAGCTTTAATTAGAAGTTTTCTAAACAATTAGTAAATAAAAATTCAATACAAAACCCAGATTATTAATTTTTGAGTCCAACTCAATAAAAGTTATATCTTATAAATGCAGTTAAATCTAATAAAAATATATCAATAATTATTGGAATAATTAACTATAATATATAGTTAAAATATATATGTAAAATTAAATGACTCGTTAAGTAAATGATCTTTATTTCTACCCTTAAAACGACTCCAAAGTATTCATTAAATAAAAATAGATTTATTTTATAGGATATTTACTCAATTAATGTATATACACTATACAGTATTATAAAATATTGTTGCACACTAGTAGTTTAATTTAAAATACGGGCACATATTGTTTTAAGATATAATCAGAGAATTGCATTTAACTCTAGCAACTATTTTTAGCGGTTCATAGCATTACCCCCAGACTCGGGATGTGAATCGATCACGAATTGGGGGTCAGTTTACCGAAAGTTTATTTTAACTATATTTAATTATTTGAGGCGTTAGTAACTATTTTAACTATTTTGTAAATTTGACTAAATATACAAATAAAAATATAAATATTAATGATTAAATTAAAACATGAGTGAGTTTTAGTATTAAAATTAACTGTAAATATAAAATGTGAAGAAAGCGAAATATCAATAGTTTTGGTTTCAAGTATTGTGTAACTTTTTAATAGTTGGTCAGACTTTAAAAATTGCTTCATAATTGGGTTCCACTCTTCAAAACTTGCAAATTGACTAAATATTTTGTTACTACAAGTGATCATTACTCCCATCCCTTATATTTTGGTAATGTGCGGACATCAATAAACAACCTAATCATATGCACTATTAATATTAAATCTTATCAAATGGATGGCATCCAGTATAGTCCAAAACAGTATATTTTGTTTTCACATTGTTCTTAAAACATTGGACGGATTGCCTATACTTTTAATGTTAGCAAAACATGTTGTAAATAATTTCTTCTATAAGAAACACTTTTCTATTGAGAAAGTTTTAATATAATAAATGTAGAAATATTTAGCCGCAAATTCTAGTCCATTGGGAACACTAGATATTCATAGATATAGTGCTGACATTCAGTATTCCTTATTTTAATTGATATGATATGAAAAGTTTTATACTCTAATTGACACCATTTTTAACATTAATATAAACTGAAAATATTAATTAATTGTGATTATCCAGAAATGAGACATTAATAATGAACAAATGGCAGAATGAGCATGGTCAATTTATTCGATGAATTCTTTAATTATTTGATTCACATAAACGTTATTATTGTATTAAAGTGTGTATCACATGATTCGCATGCAATGCATTCAATTATTACATCAATTTGACGATACTTTATGTAGTGCATTACACCACCTGATGACTGCCCCTTTACATATATATTTCTCTTCACTGCGAGACATAAAATAAGTGTATTTTTGCAGTCAATACAGTGCAGTGAAGGCGAACACAACGAGTGATAATAGAGTCTGAAAATAAATGACAATAATATGAAGCGGACAAACCAAAACTCACACTTAACATAAAACAATACATAAATTGTTAATTAAATATTTTTATATAAATTAAATTTAGTATTCTGTATTCTGTATCTCACTCTCCTGTACAGAAAGAGATTCTAGAATTACAATTTCTGTAATAAAACATATTTTTTGTCTGTTTTGCAATTAAAATAAAGGTTAATGTTCTCAAAAAGTTATTTAAAGTTTACAAAAGTAAGTAATTTATCGCAATTTGGTTTTTTACATTCAAAAAAAAGTTAATTCAATTGATTTATGATTTAAATATTTTTGTGTTATTTTTTTGCAGCGATTTATTGATCATAAGCTGCGGCTCAAGACTACTGTCAGTCACCGGTGTTTGAGTGCCATCACAACCGATACAACCATTTCAATCAAACCCGAGTTGATTACCGGCGCCGACAATGTTCTCGATCTGTCCTCAGCCACCGGATCCGCTTTAGTGGACACGATTGCCACTAACAGTGACCTCCCGATCACAGCACTTGGTTTGGCCTCCAATTACACGCCAATCGGTAACCAATTATTGACCACATTTCTAGTCGATGCACTAATGATTGAATTTGAACCAAAGGCTGGACATTACACTTATTAGAGGGCATTCATGACGTGCTTCCCTGGTATGCGACCATCGCTTTGGCCACTCTCTGCCTCCGGTTAATTATGTTTCCACTTGTGATCAAAGCCCAGAGTATGCCATCACTTATAATGTGTTATTAAATGACGAGTATTTGTTTATATGTATTGGCAGGGAATGCGATGAAAATGAACCAGGTGATGCCTCAATTACAAGAATTGCAACAAAAGTCCACAAATGCTCGGCTCTCTGGCAATCAATTCGAGTGTAAGAATTTTGGTGATCATATTTGACACACATGTTAAGCAATACGTTATGTTTAGTCGCCAAATACGTTCAGCAACAACAGGATCTGATGACCAAGAATGACATCAGCCCTTTCAAGAGTATGTTAGTGCCATTGGCTCAGGTATGGCTCACGCGATGGATTGGTTACTTTATTAACCATAACCAACAAAATCCGCGGGCAAAAACATTGTAAAAAGTACTGAGACTCTGCTTACCGAGTCAAAGGCCAGGTCAGCAACTTTCACCCTCCTTAAGATACCAAACAACTGGATTGTCAAGGGCTAGGCATCCATTTGTTGCCAGTCATTACGAGCCTCAGCCTATGGGCTGCGCTTGAGTTGGGCGTAGAGGCCGGTAAGATGTCTATCAATTGGATGAAATTAAATGCTAAATGAAATGTCTATATCTTGAGGTGTGAGCCAAAACTCGTCGGTATTTATTCGGACAGCGATGCGATGCATACCCGCCATAACACTGATATTCATCTGGAACTTCGAGTCCGCGATTCTCATGTATTGGTGTTCAAGTAATTTCATATCATTGCTTCAGGTGTTGCTCTTAAAGCAGCCGAGAATTAGGGAATATCTCAAAATTCCGCTTCAAATCAAACACAAAGCCGATGCGTTGCCCGTCTCTAAGAAGGGCTTCTATGAATGTATGACTTGATTATCATTTTAATCATTACATCATTACATAACTATATGTTTGTATAACTGTTTTCCTGAACAGCCATTAAAGAATCGATGGATAACTCGAACTATATATTCTTTTAGCTCCTATCTTTTGCTTAGCTGCTTTACTTGAAGTTCTCTCGCCGGTAGCCAGGGTAGTTTTTCTGTAAGTTTCGCCTAGGGTGTTTTAACGTTGTGTCTTTAATCAGTGTGATTATATAGTAATCGTTGACTTAATTACGATTGAAATAGTTTTATGATTTGTATTTAACTAGAATTAGGCGATAACTTCCCGTCCATTGACTTTGAATCATAATTTATGATTTAGTGTATTTTGAGTTTAATTAATTGATTAAAATTGATATCATTTATTAAAATATTCAATAAATAATAAGCTATTCATTGAATTTTTGCGCACGAATGCAATTATATAATAGTGATCAATATTGGAATTGATTGATTAGATTCACTACAATTTAATTTGTGAAATTTGCTGAAACACGTGTCGATTTATTTTTTTTGTGTTGAACATTTTGGTGTATAGGGTTTATAAGGTGCTATAAAAACTGCCGATACTTTAATGTGTTTGATGGTGTTTGATAAGATTTTGGAATAGCCTAAAGCTGGGCACTCTTATTAGAGTTGACCAGATATGAATTCACAGTGTGTCATAAAAGGGAGCGTCACTGTGCACACATGGTTAATCTAATTGTGGTTAAGTCATAGCTATATTACGTGCAATCCTTGTTTAACCGGGTCTAAAATGTGAGAATGTACAGAATGTTAATTCAAACATTAAACTTTGTAAAAATGTAACTTTGATATTGAGTTGACTTGTCTTTCTACTCAATACTGTTGGTGAGTATGAATTGAAAATAGCGCTCAACCTATTGGCCAATAAGAGTGGTCTGAAGTACAGTCACGTGAATAGCATTTGAAAGATTGAAACAATAATAAAGCATTGATTTGATTGTCATTTGATTTGATGTTTGGGTGAATCGTTTGGACACAAGTATTGTTGACATGTATTTGGAGTACATTTCGGGCAAAGTGTCAAAAGTGACCGCTTTTCATTGGTGTCTGTAGTGACTGTTGTGTAGGTTGCGAAGGTTGTGATGAGTAGCCGTGACCAAAACGCCGTGAATACCGTTGTTTTTGACATTGAGTGACAGGTAAACCAGGTTGTGACTAGAGTTGTTTCACAACATTGAGCTCAAGAGTGGTCTGAGTGTACGCTTGGCCTCTGATGTCACACAAATCAATGCCATCGACGGCTCCACAGTTGTGGTCAGTCTAGCGAACGGTCAGACCATGTGTTTCGGCATCACTTCCAATGGCCTTCAATTGAGACACAAATGGGACTCAATTGACGACTACTCGGCCAACGATTCGGTGGTCAACCGATTGGCCAACGAAGTGGTGGTTTGCGGAGACAATGGTGTGATTCGTGTCTTCAGTTTAGACAACTTCGCGTCACAAACGAGATCCAAGTGTTTGACACAAAACGCGTTGAAAGCGATTGACTTGATTTCGGCCAACGAAGTGATTTGCGGCACTTCTTCGGGACACTTAAAACTGTATGACTTTCGCACCCAATCGATGGTGTCTTCGATGGCCAACGAGTTATCGGTGATTACTTGCGTCAAACGGAACCCAAACATCTCACATGTGATCAGTTGTGGTAATGATATCGGAGTGATGTCTATATGGGATCTGAGAAACACTGGCCAACAGTTACTGCAAGTGTCCGCTCACTCGTCACTCATATCTGATCTCAAATATAAGGCCAATGAACCGAATGTATTGATGACCTCTTCATACGACGGCTCTCTATTGCGATGGAATATCTCGTCGGCGTCTCAGTTGGGATCCGTTGACGCCATCGTTGGCCGGGAGGGAGGGGTCGGCGGCGGCGGCTCTCCCATCAACTCGTTTGACATCAACTCTTTCGATGAGATCCTATTCAGTGCCGACAATGAAGTCTTATATTTGGGTCATTTGTAACGAATTATTGTTTTAATTAAATTAATTGTTTTTT